GAATTGGAAAACTCGCATCCTGCATCAATCTGATGTATTTAGTTTTCCAAATTTTCGCGTATTAACTGGAAAAAACTAAAAAAGTGTGCTGAAAAGCGCCATCTAAACGGGCATTTTGCCCCAAACTAAGTTTAAAATTTTTCGCAGTCCAAGAAAAATTTTCCAAATTGAAATTAGCGAGTTTTTAGGCTCACAACCTTCAACGCCTTGCAACCGGAAAACCGTGTTTGTCTCTTGGAAAAACACACTTTCTGCAAAAAACCTCCAAATTTTTTGCAAATCTTTGGACAGAATTTTATAATTAAAGAAAAATTTAGTGGAACGATTGAGGAAACACCGCCTGAAGGCATATTTTGCGACAAGAAAACGGTGTTTGTCTCTTGGAAAAACACACTTTTGGCAAAAAACCTTCAAAGTTTTTGCAAATTTTTCGACAGAATTCTACAAATTAACTAAAATTTAATCGAATGTTTGATGAAAAACCGCCTGAAGGCAAATTTCGCGTCAAGAATTTGTTGCGAAACTTTTTGTGGGCAAATTTGGCGAGTTGGAAAACTCGCATCCTCCATCAGTCTGATATATTTTCTTATGGTTTGAAAAAGACGAAGTTTCTGTCATGTTTTTCACAAACATTTCCTTGAAAAAAATCTGAAAAAGACCGAAAACTGGTGATAACTTTATAACGCAGATTATTGCAAAATCATTCACAATTTTTTGCAAAAGTATAATTTGGGCAGTTGGAAAACCGCCATCACCCTGAAAGTTGTCATTTGTTTGGATTTCTTTTAATGAAGCAAGAAATAGTGATTTTTGAACAAAAAACCTTCTCAACGCCAACTTTTCCTGCAAATTTCATGCTCGTCGTTGCAAAACCTTTCGAAAAAATATGAGGAATTGCAAAACTCGCATCCTTCATCAGCCTGAAACTTTCACCGCTAGAAAATTAGCGCTTTGGCGTAAAAAGTGTTATGCATTGACTGATTTTTTTTTCTAGTTTTACGCACTGAACCTGCATAATCAAATATTTCTGCAGCACCAGAAATTATTTTCCAGTGGCCTGCAAGATTTTTTAACAGCAAAACCGGTGGTTGAAAAAATTCGCATTCTGCACCAGTCTGGTGTTTTGGATTTTCCGAAATTTGCCCCCATTGGGCTAGGAAAATCATTCCTTCCTTCAACTCTGTCATTATCAGCAGAAAATTTCCTTAACTCACTTGCAGGAGCTGAAAAACACCTCAAAAGAAAATTCGCCAGTTGCAAAACTCGCCTCCGGCATCAGTCTGATACATTTTCATTTTATTTAATTTCCCTTCCTTAACTCAAACAAAATTCTTAAGGGTTTAGAAACAGAGTTTTCAAAAGCAAGTTTCCAATCAGGATTTCCTCGAATCCCCCCTTAGTCATTTTGCAAAACGAGTAAATTTAGCGACCAGAAAAACTGGCATTCTTTCCTTATGGAAACAATCTTCTTAAAAAACTTCTTGCCGCAAAAGAGCTAAAAGTAATTTCGAATTTTCCTTAAAGTGAAGTTGAGATTCTTTCAGCCATTCACTTTCAAATTTTCCAATAAATTGTTTCATTAGCCGCCTAAAAAAACAATTTTTGACCCAAAAAACCTGCCGAACACACAATTTTCCTCCTGGAGACCTCGCGTGCTTCATCGGTTGAAATGTTTTATTTTCTGGAGAAATTGTAAAAAAAACTGAAAAACTTTTTTTTTTAAGCGTTTTTGTCCCAAGAACACTTTAGAAGCGAAACACGGGAGTCCAAACCTTTTCAACCGTGAAATTGGTTAGTTGGAAAACTCGCATCCAGCATCAGTCTGATATATTTAATTTTTCAAATTTTTACACACACACACTTTTTACAAAAAAACTCCGAAGTTTTTGCAAATTTTTCGACAGGATTTTACAAATTAACAAAAGTTTTGTCGTATGTTTGATGAAAAACCGCTTTCTTATGGTTTCAAAAGGACAAAGTTGCTGTGATGTTTTTCATAAACATTTTCTTAAAAAAAAAACTGAAAAACACCGAAAACTGGTGATGAACGGAAATTTATAAAGCAGATTATTGCAAAATCATTCGCAATTTTTTGCAAAAGTAAAATTTGGACAGTTGGAAAACTTCTATCGCCCTGAAAGTTTTCATTAGAGGGGATTTCCCTTAACGAAGCAAAAAATAGTAGTTTTTGAACAAAAAACCTTCTAAACGCCAGCTTTTTATGCAAATTTTCCGCTCGTCAATGCAAAACCTTTTGAAAAAATTTGAGGAATTGGAAAACTCGCATCTTGCATCAATCTGATGTATTTAGTTTTCCAAATTTTCGCATCCTCTATCAGTCTGATATATTTTCTGACGGCTTCAAAAAGACAAAGTTTATGTCATGTTTTTCGCAAACATTTTCTTGAAAAAATCGTGAAAAACACCGAAAACTGGTGATGAACGGAATTTTATAACGCAAATTATTGCAAAATCATTCACAATTTTKTGCAAAAGTAAAATTTGGGCAGTTGGAGAACCTGAAATTACCCTGAAAGTTTTCATTTGAGGGGTTTTTTTAATGAAGCAAGAAATAGTAATTTTTGAACAACAAACCTTCTAAACGCCAACCTTTTTCTGCAAATTTCCCGCTCGTCATTTTGCAAACTTTTAATGCAAGCAAGTTTTCCTTTGAGGCGCCTTCATCAAAAGATTACACTTTTTTTATGAAAAAAAAAACATATTTTCCTTGAAAATGGCATTTATTAAGCAGCTGAGTTAAATTGCGATGAAAGTTTCAAATTTTGGCCATGCTCAGGACATTTTTTAGAAAATTTTATACTAAGAGCTTTTGGAAGCGCTGTTAATAAAAATGCACTTTTTCTTTAAAATTTGTTTTTGGTTCGGGACGAAATAGAAAATTTGCGACTGCGGCGTTTTTTTGGAAAAAGGTGCGCTCAACTATATGGAAAATTTCGTATTTCTCACCATCCTCAGGACATTTTTTAGAAATTTACAAACCCATCGGGTTTTTTTCGGAAAATTTTGTATTTAAAAAAATCAATCCTTTGCTTTGGGTGGAGCAACAAAATTGTCTTCTTTGGGCATTTGAGGGCAAAGTTTGTAGCAAATTACAGTCAAAGTTTCGAGTGTTTCACCATTCTCAGGATATTTTTCGGAAATTTTCCTACAGAGTCCGCATAGAGCAAACTTATATAATCCAAAAAAGCCAAAATACAACTAATAGAGCTGGAGCAATCAAAAAATTGTCTCTGACAGAGCAAACGCTGCTCATTCCAGTGGCGTAACATGCATAATTCAATCTTGGCCAGTTTTTGGGCAATAAATTGTTGAAACTTCAGTCGACGCACCCAAATTTATTCGGCGCATGCCTCCCACTCAAACGTTCAGAAAAAAATGAGCCCATTGAGCTGAGGCAAGCAAAAAATTTGCCCTATTAGCGCAAAGCCTCCTCTATCCAGTGGCGTAACAGGCATGACTCAATCTTAGCCGGTTTGGGAGAAATACATTTTTTAAACTTCAAGTGACGCGTCCAAATTTATTTGGCGCATACTTCAGACACAAACTTTTATAAAAAATCAGCCAGTTGAGCGGAGGATTTGCGAAAATTGTCACGAATAGAGCACATCCGACTCTATCCAGTGGTGCAACACGCCAACCCCAACCTTGACTGGTTTCTGCGAAATAAATTTTTGAACCTTCATTCAATGCACAAAAATTTATTGGACCCTGGACAATTCAAAAATTCCTCACCTTCGTCGGTCTGAATCTTAAAAATGTTTACGTTTTCATTCATATTGGGAAAACTGTGACTAAAACACAGACAGTTGATTTGAGGAACAACTGTATAATTAAGTAGTAAATGTACTTCAGTTTAGAAACTAGGAAAATATCGAAGTTGGACAAAACCCCAATTTTTGAGCGGCAAAAGGGGGGGTAACTCGAAAACCAAAATCGATAGGAAAATTCCAAGAACGCCACTGGAAAGACTATGAAAAACCCTTCAAAAAATCTAGTATGCAGTTTTGGTCTAAAATACGTTCCAAGCGAGCCACTGGCCTTCAAAGCCTTGGCTGGGCGCAATTGGGAAATTCGTCACCTTCATCGGTCTAAAAGTTTCGTTTGCAGGATTTGGTCGAAAAAATTAAAATTTTGCAAAAAACTGGATGGCGGACTTTCGAGCAAGTTTCCGGGAAACTTTGCACGCCGTGCCATTTTCGAGCAGGCAGCGAGAAACTTTCTGAGCCACTGAAAGGCCAATTGAAAAACTCGTCAGCTTTCAACGCTCCAAAAATTTTTCTTTTTAGATTTTCATTACTATTGGGAAACTCTGGACAGTGAGAAACTGATCTGAATCAGGAAAATGCAGAGTAATTGCTCGACTAATGCAAAGCGGTTCAAATAATTAAAAATCTCAAGGTAGTGGAAGATCAATGAATTTCCGCAAAGAAAAGTGACAAATTCAGGCGTAGCTCGAAAACGAAATTTGCCAGGAAAATTCCGAGCACCTCGGGAGAAAGACCGTTAAAAACCCATAAAAAAATGTGCTTGCGACAATTTGCCTAAAACCCGTTCTAAGCGAGCCAGCGGGGTTTAAAACCTCAGTTGGACGCAGTTGGGAAACTCGCCTCCTTTATAGGTCTGATACTTTTGGCAAACTCGCATCCGCCATCAGTCCAGTATATTTAACGTGGCGAAACCTCCAGGGCGAAGTGCACAATTTCCCCAGCAGCCAAGCTGCCCCAAAATGGGGCAGGTTCCGCCTCAAAGCGCCCCAGACAGCCCCCAGGGCAACCCCCCAACCCAAACGGAAAAATCGGATCGCTCCCATTGGCTTTGAACGACATTTGCGCTGTGTGTACGTACAAATCGCGCCGCCCCTTAACCCCCAGCTGCCCCCCACCAAGACCCCC